CCATCCGTGACAAACTTACAAAGGCTGCAGAAGCAGAGGCCATGGAAAAAACGGAGGATCAGGCCAGACTTCAGCTGTAAACATGATCAAGTGAGTAGCAGTACCCAAAGGAAAGAGCTACGCCAGGTAAGCTGTTCATACATGCATACTTCAGTGGTTTGGCAGAGCTCAAGGACTGAGTGGCACCTTCTGGAGCCCTTTCCATCAGGATTACTTAAGTGCATGGAAGCAGTGAGAGCTCTTGTCACAATGCTTTTTTTCACTGGCGACAGATCTAGCCACAGTGTGTACTTTCCTACACTGTAAAGCAGCTGGATACCACGGGGATAAGCGTAGTTTAAATGCCAAGATAGATTACAGCAAAACAGACAGTTTGGAAAGGGCTGGACCATGGCCAGGCAAAGCAGTGCTGGGGGTCTGCTGGTTCTTTCCACACCAGTTGGTGCTGCAGAAGAATTGTCATACCTGACCTTTTCTGTGGTTTTACACACCAGTGTGCTGGTGATGCTTGCTGGGACAGAGCATCTCCACTGCATCACATTGGGCAGAGTCCCTTCCCCATGATGGAGCACACAGTGGTGCACTCTGCCTTGCCCCTGCAGAATTCATACGGCAGCGAATGCTGGGGGCCAGGCAGCCCCTTAATTTTTCAGTCCATTAAGTGTTCGTGCTTTCTTCCCCTGTCTTGCTGTTGTTGTTCATAAACATGACAGACAGTAATCAGAAAACAAAAGCATTTAAGTTCTGTCTTCTGGCACAGCAGCACATTCACAACCAACATCAAAGGTGGGGTCTGGTGATCATCAGTGCAATACCACGTTTCAGCGTGATCAAAGCAATCAGTGCCCAGGCACAATAAAGAAGATGGAGCTCTCATTCAGCTGCTCCATGAAAGGCAACAAGAAAGAGAGCTGGGAGAGGGTGAGAGAGAGCTAAATATAGGAGGGCACACAGCTGAGATATCCTTTTACATCAAAACTAATTTTCATTTCATACCCAATTACACCTCGGAGCTGTTCAGCCCAACATTGCTGTCATCTTTAGCTTTCAATTGACTTTGCAAATTGTGGAATAGATAAAGCTACCACAGTTTGCAATGTCTCAGTTGAAACTCAGGAATCCTGAAGTTTGTGACTGCAGATGGGTAGTTTGTTGAGAGCTGGGATACATGCTCTTGCCTGATTGGTGCTGCCTGCCAGACTGATTCAGTTGTAGGTGAGGAACTCCAGCTATCACTTACTCAATAACAACAGCCTTTTTGCTTGCTCCAGTATAGGGTAGAAAGCTCTGAATGTAGGGATGCTGGATTTAGTGCAGCTGTGTGCTGTTTGCTAGAAAAAATAATGTGGTGGGAGGCATGCATAGTGATGTCATTCTTCAGGCCACCATAAAGGACTGATGATCTTTTTTTTCTCCCTGGCTTCCGCAGCGCAGACTTCAAAACTACTCAAGGAAAACTGTAGAATCATAGAATGGCTTAGGTTGGAAGAGACCTTAAGATTGCCTTGTTCTAATCCGTGTGCCATGGACAGGCACACCTTCCACCAGATGAAGCTGCCCAGGGCTCCATCCAACGTGGCCTTCAACTTGTCCAGGCATCCACAACTTCTCTGGACCGCCTGTGCCACTGCCTTACCACACTCTGAGTTAAGAATTTCTTTCTCAAATCTAGTCTAAGTCTCCCCTCTTCCAATTTAAATCCATTTCCCCTTGTCCTATCAATATCAAACTGGAAACGTCAGTCACTCTGCTGTTTATGAGCTCCATTTCGCACTGGAAGGTTGCAGTGAAGTCTCCCCAAAGCCTTCTCTTCTCACCATCTGTACTCATATCTGGGATTGCCTCAACAGAGTTGCAGCACACATGGAGTCTCATTAGGTTCAAGTTTGTTCCAATTCCTTTGGGTGGCATTCCTTCTTTCTGTTCTATCAACAGCACCACTCAGCTTGGCATCATCAACAAACTTGCTGAGGGCACACTTAATCCCACTATCTGTGTCATTGATGAAGATGTTGAAGGCCACCAGTCCCATGGTGGAACCCTGGGAGCCACCATCCATATCCAGACTCCTTCTGGACATTGAGTGACTGACCACAACCTCTGCTGGGGTCGGACACTCATCACCCGTATCTTAAAATACTTCAGACATACCTCTTGTACTGTTCTGCCAGCAAGGAAACTGAGGGCACAAGGAGTTGGGAGGGGACAGAACCAGGACACATGACCCAAACTGGCCAAAGGAATGTTCCATACCATATGGCATCATGCAAAAAAAAAAAGCTTGAAAATTAGTAGAGATTTGGCTGGGTGGGCAACCCTTCCTTGGGGATGGATTGGACAATGGTTGACAGATGATGAGCAATTGCTTGTGCATCACTTGGTCTGTAGTTACATACAATATATATATATAATTACTGTTATTTCTCACTCTTCCTTTTATGTATCAATAACTAGTTGTAATCTCAACCCAAGAGTTCTACTTCTTTTTTTCCCAATTCTGTCCCTTATCTCATTGGGAGGCAGAGGGGAGTGAATGAACAACTGTGGTGCTGAGCTACCTAATGGGTTAAACCACAACAGCAGCAATTGAAAAGTGAGTTTGTCATCTGCTAAGAGAAAATGAAATGGAAGTTGCTATTTGAATTGTGTCTTGGAAAAAGGATTTCATGGGAAGCCACAGAGGATAAAGAACAATGAATTAACAGGCTGGGTATGTTGAGTACTGGAAGAAAATCATCTAGCTTAGTAGAATGGGATGGGGAATTAAGTTTCAGGCAGAGAGCTGCTTGTTTGTGTTGACAGTGAGTGTAAAACTGGTGCTGCTTTGTTCACACCCACAAAGCTTTGTCAGTGTACACACTAGAGCAGTGCAGCTCTTAATCTGAATCACGAAACAGCTTCAGCTGGATAGCTTTCACATTTTGCTTCATCTTCTGGATGAGAGCAGCATAAGCTGTTCTACCTACTGGAACCTCTTCAAATTCATCTACTTCCTAGTAAAGGTAAAATAAAAAAACAGTAAAGAGGGTTTTCTTTCTAAAAGCTCTGAAGTCACAAGCTGTGATAGTACACTCATCTGTGCCTTTTCAGCCTGTAATCAAGCATCCTTCTAATCCCTGGAAAGAGCTGGGTGCATAGCTGCTGGATCCCCAGGGACTGGGGAAGTAGAGGGCATCAGCCAGAAAGTAGAAAATGGTGATCAGCCTTACAGTCTGACCAAAAAGATTCCTGGGCAATTTTTGCTGCTCTGGTTTTCAACTGTGAGAATCCTGTTCCAGTAACATTGGTCCCTTCTTTAGGAAAATGGTCCTATGTCCAAGAGGATCAATGTTCCATGTTTCTATGTCCAGGTGGAGGTCAGCCATCTCCCAGGGAACATCTTTATCAATGACACTGACGACGGAATTGACTGCGTCCTTGGCAAGTTTGCTGATGACACCAAGCTGAGTGGTGCGGTGGAAGGAAGGGATGCCATTCAGAGGGACCTCAACAGAATTGAAAGATGGGCCCGGGTGATGAAATTCAACACAGCAAAGTGCAAGGCTTAGCACTTGAGCCAGAGGAATCCCAGGCATCTATAAAGACTGGGAGGAGCAGTTCTTGAGAGTAGCCCTGCAGAGAAGGACCTGTGGGCCCTGGTGAATGAAAAAACTTAACATGAGCCAGCAGTGTGCTCTTGCAGCTTGGAAGGCCAATAGTATCCTGGGCTCCATCAGAAGAAGGGTGGCCAGCAGGGATAGGGAGGTGACTGTCCCTCTTTGTCCTTGTGAAGTCCCACTGGAGTACTTCATACAGGACACGGGGGCCTTCAGTACAGGAAAGGCAGAGCTGATGGGGAGAGTCCAGAGGAGAGCCACAAAGATCATCAGAGTACTGTAGCACCTCCCCTGTGAAGACAGGCTGAGGGAGCTGGACTTGTTAAGCATGGAGAAAAGAAGGCTGCAGGGTGACCTCATTGCAGCCTTCCAGTACCTAAAGGGAGCCTATGAACAGGAGGAGAGTCAACTCTTTGAAAGGGTAGATATGGGCAAGGCAAGGAAAAATGGTTTTAAGTTGAAGGAGAGAAGATTTAGGTTAGATATCAGGGAAACTTCTTTACTACGAGAATGGTGAGCTGATAGAACAGTCTGCACAGAGAGGTTGTGATTGTCCCATCCCTCGAGGTGTTCAATACCAGCTTGGATGGGGCTCCAGGCCCAGTCTAGTAGTAAATGTGGAGGTTGGTGGCCCCGTCTGTTGCAGGGAAGTTGGAACTTTATGATCCTTGAGGTCCCTACCAACTTGGGCCATTCTGTGATCCTATGGGCGCCGCGCCATAGCACACAGTACTGTACAGCAAAATGGCCACTGCTCTGTGTCTCGATGTGCGATTGGGATCATCTGAGATGGGGACAGTGAACTGGTAGAACGTGTTCCTACCTCCACCTTCCAGCCAGCTCAGAGGGAAATCAATCTGCTCCCTTTCCAGAGATCAGCGTGTGTAAAGGGTATAGAGCAAGCCGTTAAGTGTCCACTCACTATTCTTTAGGAAGCAAGGTTTGGTTGTTCCTAAACAAAGCAGCACCATTAGAGAGAGTGCTTAAATGCATGCACAAATAAATCTGGTTCTGCGCTCATCTGTAGTTACTTGGCTAGGTGTTGTAGTTAAATTCAGCCTCTGAGAAAGCAATCCTGATGCACTTCCAGGTGTAATAAAACCGTTGCTAGAAGGTTTCACTCAATTTCTTATAATCAAAGATATCTTTCAAGGCAATCAATAAATATAAGAAGTATCTAACATCAAAAATGAAAGTCCAACAAACAAAAAGACCAAAAAAACCATGCTCACAAGAAGAGTTTGCAAATATTTCTGAACTCTCATTTGTGACAGAATCTAATTGTTGCTTTACGCATGCTGCTTGTATCCTGAATGTTAAAAGGAATTAATAGAAAAAGGTATCAATTTGTCACAACAATGTTAATTAATGTTTTACATTTTTTTTCTCTTTTAACAGATAATTTGCTCTAGTGACTATATCAGGAGTAAGTGAGTATGGGGCTGCAAAAGTGGTTTTCTCAAATTTCTTGAGTGTTTAACTTACTCTAAGTATTAACCTACTGCAGGGACCTTGCTTTAGCTGGGGAGTTGAACTCTGATCATTACTGTTTTGTGGTTCTGTGTCGATGCATGAAGATTCAAATGAAAAATGTCCCTTTTTGGCAAATTGAAGAACAAGGTATTCCGTTTCTTTAGTATCAGGAAAATGTTTATTCAGCACGAGCTGTGGTGTATTAGAAATAAAGGTCCAGTTGACTAAAAAATTACCACCTGCACTGAGTTTTTCATAATTATGCTTGATGTATGCTATTGGTATTGAAACATTAGTCAGCCTGTTCTCTATTTCTCTGCTTAAAACAATATAAAATAAAATGTTCGTCTGACTTAATTCAAACACCCTATAGGCGAGCAACTTAGAAAATTACAAACTGCTTCATATTGTCATAAAAACATTGATCCGTCTTTGTTCTTATGCAAGTTCTGCTCTTTCCTGCTTTTATAACTTGTTCTCAGGCAATATTTCAACTGGAGCAGAAGTAAGTTAACATCACATTTGTAACTGTGAGATTGTTTTTTGGTGGTTTGGGGTTGTTGTCCTAAGCAATAATTGTCCTGATGAAAGGTGGATGAAGTTGTGGGGCACGAATGCCACAGCGTGTAGTGCCTAAAATAAAATAAATAACACATTTTAGATTTGCGGTATGGTGGTTTTGTTCACAAGAGGACTTTACGCTATAGGAAAAATACTGTAATTGGGATCCATACATCAAGATCTGAGACCCCTTGCTTAAAAATTTTGGAAGATCACTTCATCAAAGGAAGAACAACTCAGTTTCTGGGACATGTGAATCCCCACTTTGAAGGACAAAGGAGAAAAACTTTGTGTTTCAAAAGGACCTGCAAGTTGTGGGAGATGGTGGTGGACTGTATTTGCTTCAGATCATTTTGCTCCTCCCTGCAAGGCAAGGAATTTATAATTTAATGGGAAGCCAAGCCATTTAATGGCTTAAGCCGTCTTGCCAACAGGAGGAGGATATGAACTACATAAGAAACAAACGTGCAAAGCTGGAACCTCAAGTGAAGAAAAGGAAGTAATGTAGGTGAATAATTGGACTGTCAGAGGCGGTTAAAATTCATCCCTGATTTTCTCTGATATCAGGGATTCTGGGCTATGTGCTTAGAGCAGGGGTTTGCAGTCATAATCTAAGCAGAAGTAGCAGCATCTATAGCCAGAGAATGGGAAGAAAGTAGAAAGTATGGGGATGCTCTTACCTGAAAAGGAGGTCATACATTCCATGATACAGTAAGGCTGGGATAACTGAGAAGAATTTGCTTGCAGGAAGGCATGAGAAGCCCTGCTCTTTGCACTCTGACCTTCCACTGTCCCTTGCACAGCATTCAAGAGGATTGTGCAGTTCCCTTCAATCTATTTAAGAGAAAGAAACTGTGTCAAATCTTTCCATTCCCTAGCCAGCTGCCTTTCAGAGCACGTCTATATTAATATATTATATTCTAGCAGGATAGTATGGTATAAGGTGTACATTAATTAATACTGTGTTGAATGTTAATCTGTATAAGGATAAGGACAACTGCATCTGCTGTAACACAAGCATAAGCAACTCACAACACTTTGGACATAACAGCTCCTGTACACAGTCATTGTTAAGTAACTTTTAACACAGTTATTCAGAATGATTCTTCTTTTTCCTGAGATGTCTTTTTCAATAAACAAGGCCTTAGAGTGTGTGTTTGTCATTGTTTCCATACAGTACAGTACAGATGGCTGCTCAGATGATTTCTGTAAGAGGTGGTTGCTTTCCTCTGAAAAGCATTTATGTTTGGGATCCATGATGTTCACTAACATAAGTTCTTGTAAGAGCTCTGATATTTAGAGAAAATATAAAATGTACTTTGATTGCTGAAGTTAATTTTAACAAAACCTTTGGACCATCTAAACAGTCTGATGAAGTAGGCATTGGATTCCAGTTCTGTTGTTACAATTTTGAATTGTGCATTATGATAAGAAAAACTAAAAACAGCTCAAGAAGGCAAAATTTGAGCATAGATAACCTCCACGTTTCTTGCTTATCTTTGCATAATATTATTATGCTTTTCCTGTGCTTTACAGAACAGTATGGATATTGAGGTTGCAGAAGTCAGCTGTGTTGAGAGGTAGAAGATGGAAGCAATAGCTGTTTTTCAGCCCAGCACAATACTGTTGTTCACTTTGGTCTGTCTTTCTGCATATGGATGATCCTGGGTACCCACTTGTTGCATAGGAAATTAGTGCCTCTGCCTCCTCACAGGATGAGATGTTTGTTCTGCACTATGCTTAGGCTAAGAATATCTACCAAAGCAGTCAGTACGTATGTAGAGGTGATAGGAGACTCATTAAACTGGTGAACGCATTTATGAGAGGAACAGGTGTAAATATATTTTGTAACTTTAAGTTATGAAAACTTGCATTCCACTGACTCTACAGTCAAAGGTACCGATTATTTTTCTTAAGCAGGTCATGCACCATGCTAGTGACTGCTCAAAAGTAAATATCACCAACAGCAGTGCAGAAAAAAGTGTTGGACAGACATGAGTAGTATGTACTGTATTTCAAATACAAGTCATTAGTCATCAGCAGGACTGTTCATGCTACCATTTATGTGGCCATGATGAGGAAATGAAAATCACAGTTGCCTTTAAGCAAAACATTTGTGTGTTTTTAGTTCCCTACAGGTCCTGTTCTTTCAGCTGTTTCATAGACCTCTGCATATTTCTCAAGTTTATTGAACTTCACAAGGGACTCTCGTAGTATTCCCAAGTCCACCTCTATTTTGTATTTACTGGGATGGAAAGAGTGCACTTGGGCATGGATGTATACTGAAGACCATTCTGTTGTTTTTGTTTTGTTTTGTTTTGTTTCTTTTTTTCTTTTCTTAAGTCAGAAAGAGATTTGCATCACTGCTGGTCAGTTGGCAGGGAGGAAAGTCCAAGAATTGCTGTAGAAGGAGGAAACTGGGAGGAAATGACTAATTCCTGCCACTGCAGAGGTTTTCTGCTCTCAGTACCAGCAACAGATAAACAGGTATTTATTGCTGAAAAAAAAAATAATCTAAAACTATAAATACCAGCAGCAGCCTATCTCCAGCAGATGCAATTCAGTGCCAGTCTTTTGTCCCTTTGGAAAGCTATTTCTGCATGCTGTGGGAGTGCCTCATGAAGTAAAGTAATGAAGCTATTGTAAATATGTATGCCTATTATGGATCTGAATTAAGAAGTGATTGAGTAAATTGTTTTTCCTACATCAGTAATGCAAAACATTCTTATTGGCTGCTTTCTGTTTGTTCTCTGTATGGGAAAAGAAAAGCCTACAACCCAAGAGCAAACAAAAATCTATAGAGGAAGCTAGCCATGTTCAGTGCTAAAAGTAAGTTGCGGGCACTAAAAAGAAATAAATAATGAAGGTTTCCACAGCAACCTAAGTTCTGTAGTGTAAATTGATGACTTTCATCAATACGTTTTGTTACATAATGATAGGACAGATACTCTATAAAAAGTGCTGGCTGCATTCAGAGTTAGATTATTAGAAGGTTTGGTGTGCTCCTAAGACCTGACATCAATTAATTGAGTTCCAGAGGCTTCAGAAAACGCCGTGTGGAGGGCGTGGTTTTCTTCCCGTGGTCAACCTTGTGCACTGAAGCTGTGTGGTTAAAGATCTTACTGATAAGGCTCAGGAGGTCCAAGTATGCCTGGTTTGGTTTCTGCTCTTCAGAGTAACCTAGGAGGCGTTCCAGAAGAGCAGCAGGAGCACAGCACGGCCTGGGGTGAACACGGCCCTTGTGAGAGGACATCCACTCCTGCTCCGTAGCAAGGAACAGTGAGAGAAGCCCTGTCCCTGCACCAGAGCAGGACGTGGATTTTGCGGTGTTTAAACCGGTTCCTTGTGAGCGAGATCCAGGCTGTGACCATTTGAGTGCCCTCAGCTCCTATCCCCCTCGGGTAGCGATTGGCTTTCTGCGCTTCTCAAAAGAACTTCAGCTCGCAGGCGGCTTTTAGTACTGGTTTGCACCGAAGAACTGCCCAGGGCGACGAGATCCCACCGCACCCTGCGCTGAGGAGGCGCGCCCCGGCCCTGTCAGCGCCGCCCCCGCGCCTCGCGCCTCGTGCGGCCGCATGGGAGGGAAGGGAGGGGACGGGGGGAAGTGCGGTGCGAGTTGCGCTCCATCGGCGGCGGGGCGCGGGTCGTTCGGCGGCGGTGGCGGCGCTCGGGGCCGAGGAGCTCGGCGGGACCACGTTGGGAGAGCTGCCGGGCCGGCGGCGGGCGGGAGGGGGAGGAGGCGACCTCCCCCCCCCCCCCCCCCCCCCCCCCCCCCCCCCCCCCCCCACGTCCCCCCCAGGTCGGGACCCTCCGGGCAACCTGAGGCGGGGGCTGCGGCCCCGCTGAGGGAGGAGGAGCAGCAGCAGCAGCAGCCGCCCCCGCTTCACGAGCGGTGCCCACCCGCCCCTCTCTGCCCAGAGGACCCCCGTAGCGCCAGCAACACGTGGAGCCCGAGCGAGGAGGAGAAATACGGCGTGGGTAGGTGCCGCCGATCCCCCGCTGCCCTGCCGTCCCGAGGGCAGCGCCTGCCGCCGTGTCCGGCCTCGGGGCGCCGCCTGCTCGGGGCCCGGTGGTGCCCGCCGGCAGAGTACGCTAGCTGTTCGCTGTATGATAATAATAGAAGTAGGCAGCGTGTGCCTGATTGGCTTCCTAAACGTGTCGTTACGGTTAGGGACTGTCTGTGTAGGGCTTAAGTTCCGCGGTGGGTCATGGTCATCGGTTTCTGCAAATATGAAAGTTGCCGTCTGCCTCGCTGCAGGGATCTGAGCCGCGCTGCTGATGCGGGCTTTGGACGGTCAGCACGCACGCAGTTACAGGTCGCAGTGCTGGTGGTGCTTCATGCGAACTCTGAGCATGCCAGCATGCAGCAGGATGCACCGGAATGCTTTAGGTTAACGTAGCGCCCTGTGCAGCATGGATTTGGCTTGGTGCGTCCCACACTGCTTCTGTAATAAGCAGATGAACCAAGAATTCACTGTTGTGTAAAAAAAAAAAAAAACACATCGAGTGTGGTGTGTGAGAGGAGAAGCTGTGAGGCAAAATCGAATCACCGGGATTATGTAAAATTAACAAACTGCGTTGCGCTTTGTGTGGTTGTTTGGAGGATGCAAAGTTTCTGAAACTTGCTCGAATGTGAAGCCCTGGTGGAAAGCCAGCCCTCTTGTCGTGGTGCTAACCTTGCAGGTGTCGCTGCAGTGTGCTTCCGGAAACAATTCCTCATCTTTCATGTCGTGTTGGTTTTCCTCCTTTCTGTGGTCGTTTTTCCTTGCTGTTGTGAGATGCTGGCACGGTGGGTTTGGGACTCAGAGGTTTGAGCTCTGCTCGGCCAGTCAGTGTGGGTGGGAAACGTGGCTCGTCGGGAGTTTGGTGCCGCAGGTGGGGGCAGTGCTGAGGCTGCACAGGGAGCTCTGTGAGCCCTCAGGTGCCAAGTGCGCTGTGCTGCAGAAAGAGTAGGTGTAGTTTTGTTGTTGGGAGATGCGTTGCCAAAAAGGGAAATAAAGTAGATTTTGATTTCTTGAAATCTTACTGATTTAAATTATTCCGGCTCCAAAAACAAAAGAATGTGTGCTGAAGGAATTTTCTTGGAATGAGTGACTGGTGTGAGCTTATCTCTTAGGCTTTATTAATTTGTTTGATTTGTCACTCTTCGTCCCAAGAAACCCAGTGTGCTCAGTGTGCTTTTCCCTAGGCACTCCTCAAGCTCTGAAATGTTTTTCTGATGTGCCTTTGCACTAAGGCAGCATATGTCACATCCCTGTTGGGGGAGGGGGAGGGAAGTGTGTGTCAAACTCCTGCAACACAGCGCACGGCTTTCTGGTGAAATATAGCAGTTCCCCTGAGCAGGCCTGGCTGCCTGCTCTGTGCTTTGGGCACAGCAACTCTATGCCGCAATGTAGAGAATTTGGATGCAGTTCTCTTTATTGAAAGCAACTCTTGATTTGTGCCTTCCTCTCATCTCACTCTGGGTGACAAATGATGAAATATGTTGACAGTCCACAAAACTGCAGCATTACCTCTTTAACACGGTCTTCTGATGTGGAATGCTGATGGAAAAACCATGAGACTGTAACATTTACATAGACTTTTTTCAGGAACATACCTCGTTTCCCGTCGCTGTGTGTTGCTACAGAAGGGTTTTGTATTCTGTGGCTTTCAAAAAGTTTCAGAAGACATTTGTCACTCACTTGCTGGCACCCTTTGTAGCTACACAGACTCGTTACTACTTGAGAATTCACTGAAGTTGTTGATGGAACATCAGCAGCTTTCTGGCAGTTCCAAAGTTCTCGTGCCTGTATTGCTGCAGCCGAAGAAGCCTTGGATGCCTGCAGCTCTGTGCAGCACTGCCTGGCTTGCACAAAACTCCTCACATACTTTTGCAGCAAACATACTAAAAAATCGCTTGGGATATTCAAAATAAAGAAGTGGAAAAACTCCACTGACCCAGCTGAAGTTCTTCCTTGATTGCCCTTCCCTGCTACTGCCTGCAGTCTGCTGCAACCGTTTCCCTTCAGCTCCGTGTAGAAATGCTTATATGCAGCGCCTATGCTCCCAGCTGCCATTGGGAACGCACGCCCTGGAGATGGCAGCAGCTCTCCTGTGGACACTGCTGGGCACAGCCCATTGTATATGCTGCTGCTCAGCTCTCCAAGTGGTTTATTAATTGCAGATAACAAACTCCAGCCCCCTAGTGCTCTAGTAGTTCTAAAGCAGCCTCTTTCTTAAAGAAAGTATTAGTTGCATTAGGGTTCTGAAGCAAATCTTCTGTAATAAGTCAATTAAAAGAAAAAGCTAAGTGGGTGAAAGAGACCCCTCTAGTAAGTAACTGCTAATTAAAATTTGGCAAATGTTTGTGAGTTGATTATCTAATTAATTAAGCTGCAAATTTTTGCTGCTTTGTATGTACAAGGAGCACGTTTAGGTGATGCTCAAAACAAAAAAAAAAAAACCACCCCCAAACCAAAGATCTACATAGTTGATGCTGTACTTTGTGCTGGCCATGCTAAATGTGTGGGTGCTAAATCACAGGGAAGTGGAAAACCTGCCTGCATGAACAGCACCTGCTGTTGCTTTGTTGTGGTTACTAGAAGTTACTGGGTTAAAATCTGTTGATTGTTTTATTTGCACAAAGTGATTTTTGTGAATTTACTTTCACTGTTGAGTAGGTGAGAATAAGAAGTAAGTCTCTAGGTAGGAATGCGCAAAACAAATGCTTCCCTTGCTACTAGGAAAGGCTGGAGCATCTTGATGTTCTAGTTCCAGGTCTGTACTGTAGCTTTTGCTTTTTGATCGGTCTCCTCATTTTTTTCCCCCACTGCTGTATGTTGGCTTAGGCATCTTGCAACTCATAGTAACAAATGGAAAAGCAAGACTGTAAAGCTCAGAAAAAGTCTGCCTTGCCTCTGTGCAGCTCCTGCCATCATGCTTGGTTCTTGTCGTGAGTTAGTCACACAACACAGGGTTTTCTTGCCAGGAAGATTTTTTTATTGCTGTAATGATCATGATCATGATATATGTCTCTCTACTTTCTAAAGCAAGCCTATTATATTCAAACATGCATATTCAGTACATTTCCACTAACAATCCATTGGCTAAAAAGCAAGCAAATTCCAAAGTAAGTCTTCATAATCAGCAGAGAATTTATCTTATGGCTGGGCACAAAAAAACTGTTTATTCAGACTCTCTGTCCTTTCCAGAACCTCATTACCAACAAGTTGGACTCGACTAGGCCGAGCTGACCTATCCATCTCCCACATCTCCCCCCTCCTTACTAACGAAAAAAGCTTGTATCATTTTCCGAGCACACTTCAGTAAGCAAGGAGTGCAAACTAAAATGCAGAGAAAAGCAATAAGACAGACTATCCCTATGTTGTACACATTCTGCATCCACACTCCTGGGTTTCCGAAGAAGCTTCCAAGTATATCCAACCCGTCATCAACCTGGGATTTCTTAACTGCATTCTGCAAATCCTCAATGCTCTTATATATTGACTTTGGATGTTCTGGCAAATTCATGCAACACATGCCATCAGAATCCCGACACCTGTGGCCTTGAGCTAACAGCAAGAAGCTTATAGCAGCACGATGTTGTAAGGTAGCGTGCAGTACTGAGTCTTTATCTAGTAGCAATCCATTTAGAGCCAAGGGAGTAGCATTTGTTTGCTTGGTCAGCCAGCATCCAATTTTTTTAAGCGTGCTCAATACTTTAACTGATGCAACGCCTGGGGCTAAAAAGGATGCTGCTGTTATTTCCCCAGGGTTCCGAACTTCCACATTATTTGTGCACTCTGATTGAAAAGCATGTCTAGCCTGCTTGTAGCGCTTCTGGGGGGGAGTAATCATAGAGATATTAGGTTTTAGTAAAGTTAGTCTTCCCAAACTGCATGGACCTCCTCTGATGCGAGAGGGGATAGCAGGCCATGCCCTGTCCCCACAGATGAGAAAAACTCCTGCTGGCAAGCTAAGTGGATGGCTACTAGATCTTGAGAAGTTAGGTGAAGTATAGTTACACCAAGCAGAGTGATTTCTGTAAGCAGCTAATCTGGCATTGACAGACTGAACTAATGGTTGATTCTCTCCACTGTAGTTAAAATACAAACAGTAATCCATTTTAACCGAACCCAGCAGCTCCAGTTGTTGTGGTTCCAGATTGCGCTGTTGCAGATGTTTTACCCATCCATCCCATTTGTCGACTGCTGCCTTCCTGTTGGGTGCATAGCGTGGGGCGGGCCATTTCTTCAGGGGTTGTCCCATCAAACACGAGAACGGGTTTCCTGGTGACGCAGTTGACAAACAGAGCGTGTCTTGTCCCATCTTGTTGGTGAGGGTGACCCATATGTTCTGCTTTCGTTGAGCTGGAAATCGAAATGCCGGTGAGACCGTGATGATCATGTTACAGTAGATGACGAAAAGGATGGCTGTACTCTTCATGCTGATATCCATCTCAGGCCTGTTCCTGTTGAAACAACAAGCATAATCTCAACCCCCCGTTATCAACGAATAGGGTCCTTCCCATTGTTTAGACCTTATATTTTGTACCATAACCTCTGCTTTTGCCTTGCCAGGAGTTAAGGTATTACAGCCAAAATGCTTGGCCTACTATTGTCCAGCGATTTAGAAAATTGAGAATAGCATGCTTTAGCTATTCTTTCCTGCGAGGTCATACCCATGCTCCCCCTTTTTTGTTTTTGAAGCATGGCCTTTAAGGTACCATGGGCTCGTTCAATAATAGCTTGACCTGTGGGAGAATGGGTAGACCTGTCAGGTGTTGAATACGCCACTGTTGAAAGAAGGAGCAGGTAGCATGAGCTGGTCCATTGTCTGTTTTAATTGTTTTTGGGACCCCAAGGACTGCAAAGTCCAATCAGAGATGTTTACAGACATCTTTTGCCTTTCCTCCTGTGTGCACAAATGATGCAAAAGTACAGGTAGAGAATGAATCAATAGAAACATGAACATAATGGACCTTCCCAAATTCTGGTACGTGTGTAACATCTGTTGGCCTCAAGCTCAGTCCTCGAGGGTTAACTCCTACAGTAGGTGAAACAGTTTGACAGTCTGGACAGGACTGTATGATCTGTCTGGCCTGATCCATGGTCAACTGAAAGGCACGCTGCAATGCCTTTGTATTTTGATGATAAAAATCATGGGATAACCGTGCTTGGGCAAACTGATCAGGAACAACAATTGCTCCTGCCAGTTTGTCCGCCTGCAGATTAGCCCTGGAAATGGGGCCTGGCAGAGAGGAGCGAGAACAAATATGCTGAATGAAGTATGATTCTGAGTGATTATCTAGAAACCATTTTAAGCGCAAAAGAAGTGCAAACAACTGTGCGTTAGTTGTCTCTTTTAGATAAGAATGTTCCAGTCGCATTACAGTGCCTGCAACATAAGCAGAATCTGTTATTATGTTGATGGGTTCAAACCATCGCTCGAACACATGGACCACTGCTGTAAGTTCCACAATTTGTGGAGAGGCAGTGGTGACATGGTCGTCACTCTCCCAGGTCCCGGCAGTATCTTTCCGTGCAATGACTGCGTGGCCAGTCCTGCCCGATCCATCTGCAGAAACAGTAAGAGCACCTACAAGAGGGGTTAATGATAATTTAGAAACTGGTAACAAATACAGATTGTAAAAGCTTGTGCACTGGCAGATGAATACTGATCTGCCCTGAAAACCCCACCAGCACACACTGTAGCTGTTGTGACATGCAGAACACAAACTCCCATTGCTTGAGATCAAATGGGACATAGATTGTTTCTGGATCTGTGCCATCTAAAGCTAATAAACGTTCCCTTCCCCTGCAAATGACCATAGCTACCGTATCAACTCTGATAGTAACAGTCTTAGCAAAAATACCCATTCTAAAATTACCAGCGGGTCGGGATCCCCCTTGACCCACTGTGCTGACAGTCCATAGGGTTGGAAAGGAGAGTTAATAACAAAAAGACTGATTGGATGATCAGGTTTTCTTTGTTGTGCTGCTTGCTGGGTCATCTTTGAGATGGCAGTATTCAGTACCGTTATTGCTGCTGGTGTCAGATGTTGTGGTGATGATAAGCCTGGATCTCCTTCCAGTAATCTGAAGAGGGGGTGAGGACCTTCTGTAGAAATTACCACTAGGAGTTGCACCCAATTTATGGCCTCTAACAACTTTTGCAGATCGTTTAAGGTGTTAATTTGGTACCCAGAATTAGAATCTGAGGCTGGATTTGAGTCTGTGAAATCCTCCAGCCCAGATATAGGCAAGGTGGTGTCTTTTGGATTTTGTTCTGCGCAATCTGCAATCCTGCCTGAGTTGTGTAATGATCAGTGACACTACTTTAGTCACCATCACCTCTGTTGGTGAGGTGACCAGGATATCACCCATGTAGTGATACATGCAGACATCGGGAAACCTTTGGTGTACAGGAGATAAAAGAGTGGCAACAAATTGCTGACAAGTGGTTGGGCTGTTCTTCATGCCCTGAGGTAACACAGTCCGATGGCATCTGTGCTGGGGTTCCCCATTGTTAATAGAGGGAACCGAAAATGCAAACTGTGGTGCGTCATCAGAGCACAGTGGGATGTTAAAAAAAAAAGTGTTTTAAGTCTATTACTATTAGTGGCCATGATTGCGGAAGCATAGAGGGGGAAGGCAGCCCTGGTTGCAAAGAGCCCATATCTTCAATAATAGCACTAATCTTTCTGAGATCCGGTAACAGTCTTCATTTCGGTGATCGTTTTTTGATCACAAACACATGTTTCTATGTGCTTGTAGTTGGCACTATATGTCTAGCTGCTACTTGTTCTTGAACAAGGATATTTAGCTGCAGCAATTTTTCTTGGGATAGGGGCCACTGGTCCACCCACGCGGGTGTATTGGTTTTCCATAGTAAACGTGGGATTTGCTGCAAGGCAGTGGCCCTTAGGAGAAATCTGTGCTGAGGGAGAATCCCCACTGTCCCAGACAATCTCTTCCCCACAGAGTGACGAGGCTATGTGAGACATAAGGTCTCATGGAGGCAGCTCTGCCTTCTGGCCCAATGATTGTAAGAACTGCTGCGCTTTGTTTTGGCACGGTGTGCCCCCTATACCTGTTAGTGCTGCATGGGGATTCATAAGAGGGCACTGCAGTGGCCAGAGCATCACAGAGATGATTGTAACATCTGCACCGCTGTCAGGGATGCCTGTCACTTTAAGCTCTTGTTCACCTTGTCGCAGCATGCAAGTCAGATTTGGTCTCCCTTGCGAGACTTTCTGAGACCAGCAAACCTGAGGTTCACCGGTCAATGCAAAACTATTATCACCCTGTGGGATGTTGGTTCGTTGGTGCGGATTAGGCTGAAAGTAAATCAGTTGTGCTGTACGACTTTCTGCAGGGACAGTACAAGGTAGGGTTGGTGTCCACAGTATTATCTTTTATTTATTTCCCCAGTGTGATCTGTGTCAATAACATCAGGTGAAACAAAAAGACCCACCCGTGTAGCAAAAGCCCATCCGAGTAAAAGTGCTGCCATGCCGTTTCCCGGGGTCCATAAATACCCATGGGGGCTAAGGTGACAGTGGTATCATTTAGGATTGTGTCTGAGGAGGTGGCCAAGCCCACACCGGTGCTACCCTGGGTTCTGGCATACAAGCTGCAGCAGTCGCTCAAGGGGAATTTATTGTCATCGCGTGTCCCCCCACCTCCCCCCGCGCTCCTCCGTGAGTTTCCCATCAGAGGAAGCAGTTAGCCATTGATATCACATTTCAACCAACAATCTCGTGTTCTGTGGTTGCCCTTCTTGCATCTTGGGCATAATTGTTGTGATTTTCTGCCCTTCCACGGACACTGTGTGAACGTGACCAGATTGGTTACAGCCAAAGCATCTGGTTAAGAGATAAAGTGACAGACTCCTGGACTGCTAGCACAACTTGGTGTTGGTGTGTGCCAACATTTATGCAGGCATTATTTATCCTTAGTAGTAGGATTTTTTAAAGCATGTAACACCTTCTGGCAATCAGCGTTTGCATTTTCAATTGTTAGCTATTGAAATATAAAAGCTCTTGCCTGCGCATTATTGACCTGCTTCTGTAGCAGATTCTTAATTCTGTAGCGAATTCCAGAAATGTCATATATGATTCTTGGGGCTGCTTTTTGATGCTCATAAAAGACTGTCTCTGCTCCCCTGCCTCAGGCACAGCTCAAAGGGCATGCACTGCCAGCTGCTTAACTTGCTGTAGCCCTTCTGCAGGAATTTGTGCCTGCTGGGCTGGGGTGGAGAAATTCCCCTCCCCCATCAAAGCGTTCACACCTACAGCCCTGAGTGGATTTCTCTGCAGCAGCGCCTGATTTTCAGTTTCGTGGGTCTGTGCCAATCCTCTCAGTTTTGATTCCCACATAGTATACTGCATATCGGTCATGATAAGACGACACATCATTTTAAAATCATGTGGTGTGAGAACGGAGCTATCACATATGGATCGAATCACATTGACAGTGGGTGCCGATGCCATGATCAGTGACCGTAAACCATAAATCTCGCAGGATACGATATAGCCTCCCACCACGGCTCTTGTTCTGGGTCTATAATTACAGGAAATGCCCGTAACATATCCATGTTTCCAGCTTTCCTAGCCTCCCTCCGAACGAGCGCCCATGCATTGTGTGGATTGGGGGGAAACAGATCCGGCTCTTTGTCAGAGTTTGTCAGGCCAGGATCAGAGGGATCGTCAGAGCCCTGAGGAGCTGGGGTGGCAAGCCTCCCCCGTGGTGGTGGTAATGAGGGGGTTGCTGGCACAGTGGGTGAATCTGAGGAGGAGCCTGCAGCTCCTTCATCCTCAGGTGGACTGAAGGGTGACCAATGATAGGCCCACATGACTTTTTAAAGCTTCAAAAATTTTTCTCCAGGTTTCATGCAACCCGGATGCCATCTTATCACCTTTAGTGAATGTGTCCCTCAGTTTCACCCCAACCCCTTCTCACGTCTCTGGCTTGTAAACTGTCTGACTGGTGATGGAGGAATCCTTTCTGGTGACCCACACAAGCATTTGTTGTAGATCAGGGGAGGATACTGACACCCCCCATCATTTGAGTATATATTGAAAGGTAACTAGGATGTTTTTCTGTTCTGAGGTCACTTTGTTCCCCGTAGTGTGCTTGCTTACCTTCGTCCGACGAGAGGCAATCGAATCGAAGGGATGATGGATCCTCGGTCTGCTGCGTTGATCTCAGCACTGCCCTTCACGAGCTTTCCACGTTTGTCTCAGTGTCAGCCGCGTTTTTTCTCAACGCCTGACACGCACTGGTCCAGTGCGTTCTGGACCAGTCAGTCTTCAAGTTAGGCTAAGTCTCTGGTCTGGTCCCTGTGCGGGTGCCGGTTGTTGCGAGCTAGTCACATGACACAGGGCTCTCTTACCAGGAAGATTTCTTTTTTGCCATGATGATCAGGATGTATGTGTCTCTACTTTCTAAAGCAAGCCTTTTATAGTCTAACGCTGCATATTCAGTACATTTCCACTAACAATTCATTGGCTAAAAAGCAAGCAAATTCCATAACAAGTTTTCATAATCAGCAGAAAGTTTATCTTATGGTTGGGTACAAAACACCCCTGTTTATTCTGACCCTCTATCTCCTTTCCAGAGCCTCATTATCAGCAAGTTGAGACTCGATGAGGTCGAGGTGACCTCTCCATCTCCCACAAGTTTTCACTCCCTCACGTGTTATACAGTGAGTAGGTGAAGGAGTACTTTGAGGTGATTGACATTGCAGCTTCCCTGCATCACCAGATCAGTTTATTATGCATTTAAAATGAAAAGTTCCAGAGAGATGGAGAAAAGCCCCTCCAAAATTGGTAAAATCTCCCTGTTTGGTGGAGGGGCCCTGGGCAGCTTGGTCAGCCAGCCCCATGGGGATGGGGCTGAGAGGTCCCTTCTAACCAAGCCACTGTACTGTTCTGCGAGTTGGTAGATTAGGAAGCGATATCAATCACTGCAGCTGGGTTCTGTGTTGTGGGATGTAGATTGCATTTAATCTTCTCTTTCTTGCCTTGCTGCCAGCAGCTGTAACGGTCTGGCAGCAACAGGGATGTGACTAAGGATCTTCTTTGGTGATGTGCCCTGGGTCTGAAGCCATACAGAGGGGTGTGCTCATAAACCTCAGAGTAACAGTTTTCTGGGAGATGGTGGTAGTAACTTGCTGATTTGTCTGGAAAACTGGGTAGTCAGTGCATTGGAGTAGTTCTGAGTTCCATATTTTGCCCTGAAGAACACGGTTTTTCTTTGTGGACTTGAGAATGAGCAAATGAATTCATCGGCTGGGGGTCATAAAAGAGTTACAGGACGTTGTTATTTCATTTATTATTCAAATGTTATTTGACTGAATGAGAAATGAATCACCCCCTGAAATGCCTCTGGAAAAGAACAGCTCCTGAGGGGTGTGTGAGCAGAGACTTTCAGTATAGACAGTTTCAGTTGAGTGTACGTCTGTACTTCTGTTACTGGGATAGCCTATCATTGGATATACTGTTTTGTGTGAAGAAATGAGTGTGTCTTGGCTCATTTACCTTAGAAAACAGCAGCCAGATGACAGCATAGCTATTCATGTGAAAACCTGTTCTTCAGAGCTGAATGAGAAGTGACCTCATGCTAGTTTGAGATCATCTAAATGCTAGCTGCCCACATTATGGTAGAAGCTAGCCAAGATTTTCTAAGTACAGGAGAAATAAAATTGAAGATAGTGTGCGAAGGCAAGGGACCGGGCAGTTATTTTAGCAGTGTATTGTGCGGTTTGTATGGAATGTTGTGTGATGCTGATGTGAAGAGTTGGAGTGTTGCAATATGGGTTCTAACTTTTGTTGCTTTGATGTTTTTCAGAGCACTTTGCTTGCTCATGGTTACGCTGTGGGATGTGTTTGGCCAATTCCTTCAGGACTTCCGCTGTTTGCTGGTGGGATGGGGGAAAAGCTCTCTGGCCCTGGCCACAATCATGCTCATCTCCTAAGGATGACAATTCTCAGGTATACAACCTATGTGTGCTCAACTACCAGTATCTCTCCAACAGTGATGAGCAATGTTTTGTGATGGGAGTTGGCAGTTTCAGACATACATTTCCTACAAATGTTATGAAAGTTGCTGATGGGATGGGAAGAGGAGAATTTTCTAATGATTTGCAATACGAATGCAAGTAAGCAGTTGCTGACTCACTGAGAAAAATAGGTAAGAAAGTTCTCTCAGGAGTTTTCCTAGTCCAACTTGTTTTTTTTCTGGAGGACGTGGAGGGGGAGCTGTTAGTGTGAATGTGTCCAGATGATTTTGCCAGCTGTTAATTTAATACTCCTGCCCCTTCTGTCTTCTGGTCTCATTAATGAAGCCTCACATACACGTCGGACCCAGAGGAACTGCTGTTTGAGCAGGTTCAAAGCAGAGGAAGGCGTTTCTTCTGCTGTGGCCCAGCAGTTCAGACACACAGTTAAGGCATTTATGTCCTGGTGATGGTTACTGTGTGTGGCCAAAGCTTTCCTCTTCGATGGAGTTCTGGTTTAACTGCTGGCTGAAAAGAACTTCTATGGCATCCTTACAAACTTGGCTGATGAGAAGGGGTTTAATACCTGGAAGCAGGTTGTGGTCCCAGCCCTTGGGATCCCACTGGTGGCACTGTGCTGTGTGCAGGTGCTGGGCAGCCAGTCCGTGGGCTCTGGGCCTGCGTGCTGAGGTCAAAGGGCTTGGGTGGCTGAGTTGTGTCTGTGCCTGTGTAAGTTTGTACATGCTGATGGGCAGACACGGGACTAGGGGCAGGGGGAAGTGGGGAATAAATCACAGTTTTTAAATCTGTGTTTAAAATTGAGGTTAATTAAATTACCTTCAGAAATGTTTCAGAAGTTCAGCGTGGTAGTTCTTGAAAAGTACAGATTCCTTTTTATTCTGCAGGGTATCCAGTTAAACATCACAGTACACATTAGTATAGGATTTTCCTAGTGTATTAATTGCACAAATGTTAGTTGCAATGGTTGCAACTTGAAGGAAATCTACTATAGCACTTCATTATTTAGGACTGTGTGCTCTGATGCATTATGTGATAGAGTAAGAAGTGAGACAAGGAAGTTTTTGTGTCTACTGTGAATCGGGAGTTGGTGATTGAAGTAATCAAGCCTTGTTTGATTCAAAAGTCTCATAAAAAACGCAGCTTTTATGTCACTGCTGAGCTTAACCTGTGAAAAGGGCTGAAATGGAGTTATGGGATGCAGAGAAGTTGGCTGACAGGTTTTCTGGGCAGTTGTGTGATAGCTATTTTTGTTTAGGTAATGAGCTGAAATGCTATGCTTAGAAGGAAAATTAACGCTCAGATTCAACCCTCGTGTGTATCTCTCTCTTCTTTCCCCACCCTTCGGTGATACGCAGCTTCCAAGGACCTGTGTCACAAGACTTGGTCCTGGAGCCAGGTGAGACCATGCAGATCCTGGAGAAATGTGAAGGTAACTGTGATGTCCAGGAGGCAATTCTGTTTGCTATGTAAGAATGTAAAAATGTTTGAATACAGCAGATCTTAGTAAGTTGCTGTGGAATAATGATGCATCAAATCAAAGCACTTGGACAAAGAACTGGCCTGACCCACATTTTGTAGGAAAGGCTGAATGCTTCTGGCACTAATGCAGTCTGATGGGGGGAGGGGGGGAGGTCAGCGTGTTTTAAGTTAGCCATCTCTCCAGAAAATGTTGAATCCTGACCCGGTGTTCTGTTGCAGTTGGGTCTTGCAAGAAATTTTCATCAATAAAATGTAACCTGTGTTTGTTTTAGCCATATTTCCTAAATGTTGCTGTAACGTGTTTCGATGAACCGTACCAGTGTTTATTGCTTAGGAATATCCGAACACGTGGAAAACATTAGCTGTGAAACAGAGAGATGCAATTTATGAGCATGCTTTGTCCCATGTTCTTTTTGTTCCTGAAGGAGAATGCCACTGTTAACATTATAGTTGTAACTACAGTTCTTGTGTGGCTCTAGATGTCTGTGTGTGAATAAACTGCACATTCCAATCCCTTGCAGTATTCCTGGGACTAATCTGGCTGAGGCTGTTGCATTTAAAAGGAGAATGCTTTTTATCCTAACATTCCGAGTAAGCAAGTGGTGTAAAACATGCTCATTGAGAGAGATAGGCTGTGCAGGTACAGTATGAGGATATTTCTCTATAATCTGAGGTTGAATAATGTAACCTTTTTAATCCTGAAGAATTTAAAAACAAATTCAGAACTCAGATCCACATTCGGAATTCCAAATTCACATTCCACAAAACTGTGGTTTTGTTTTTGTGTTTGTTCAGTTTACATTCCCGTTTCTTCTCCAGTGCTAGAGTTCCTATATAAACATCCTGGCTGCTTGTCAAATGACTGCTTTTTCTTCTCTTATGCATACAACTGTCTTTTGCTCTTGAGGTTTTCATGTTGCATCGGGGGTTTTGTTTGATTAGCTGCTGACTGAACTTTTCAATGAAAAACTAACCGAATATTTGTGATTCCTTTAGAAAAGTGGTGGCTTCCTCACGTCTACCCATAAAACTTTGAATGAGAGTTTTGCAGTTCAGTGGTGATGTTTAATCCGTGGAGAAGCGTGTTGTAAACAATACATCTGGTATTGCGTGTGCAAATTGATAGTATTTTATTTAAAACAGTGTGGTGTAATGGCTAAGCTTTGTTCAGACAGTGGTGTTGATTGTGGTTGCTTTACCAGGTCTTGTGAACACCGCAAGCTTGGGAGAAAGTACTTGAAAAGAATATTATAACTCTACTTGAAAAGAATATTATAACTCTAAAGGAAAACAGTCATATCAATGAAAGCAGGCATGATATTTTCAAACCATTTCCAGTAATCTGGGAAACTTCCAAAACTGAGGAAAAAAAGGCACGGTATCCAAAGGAGCAGCTGCTAACAGGAGGGCAAAAGGATAATCCAGTCTGTCTCTTCACAGTGTCACAGTGACTGGGCTGTGGGCTTTGGGCTGTGTGTTTTTTCTCTGCCAGTAATTTTAAAGACAGTTCCTCAAAGGCAGTTTGTCAGGCTTCAGATCATGGAGGAAGGAAGACCCTCTGGTATGGGGGTTCTCCTGTGTGCACAGAGGCTTGAGTGCATGTGGGTTGTTTGTTTTTTAAGCACACTGTCCTGTCTTTTTTTTTTTTTTTTTTTTGAGGAGCTTTTGGCGTGAACTTTATATGCCTAAAAAAGATAGGTTAATTTTGCTACATGTGGAACTGCACAATGTGGAGCTCCTCTGTCACTTCAGTGGTGCCCTCCCTCCCTGAGCAACAGCGAATACTTCTGAGCTGTGGCAGGACTGAGTATGGGTTTCCACAGAGGTTGTGAGTCCCTCAGAGCTGTGGGCACAGGGCTGGGCAGCTGCTCTGGGTGGCCTTGTGGGGTAGGGGTGGCACCAGGTGAGCTCCGGAACTCCCCATCAGCCTCACCCACTGCTTAACAGTGTCCTTTG